GACTGAATTCACACTATTTCTGGCAGTCTGCAACCCCCCTATGTTTGCACAAAAAATTAACCTTTTCAAGTTATGATCAAAATCACAAAAAGTCCTCTATAGAACTTGGGAATGGCATTTTTGAGAAATTAGTAATATTCTGGTGTTCCTTTATGGGGTGGGGGTGGGGTCATGCTGAAGGTAGGATGCTAAATGTTTCAGTTGCTAATTTCACTGCCGGCTCAAAAAATGGCAGCCTTTTAAATTCATCTCCACTTTTCAACAACAACAGCCTATTAATGTTATTATAAAACCTGCACAGTTCTCAGAAATCTGGGATATCCTCTGAAACAGGCATAATTGCCCATCACTATCTCTTTAGGCTGCATCCTGTAGTGTTGTGGATCTGGGATTTGGGAGTTCCAGGTTGAAATGCCCACTGAGCCATGGAGCTCACTGAGTGACACTGAGCTGGTCATGTTCTCAGTCTCTCTCTCTCTCTCTCTCTCTCTCAGCCTGACCTACCTTATTGAGTTGTTGTGAGGATAAAATAGAGACGAAGAGAGAAATGTATATTGCCTGGAATTTGTCGAGAAAAGGCAGCACAGAAAAGTAATCAATCAATCAATAGGTAATAGAAGAAGAAGAAGTGTTTGTGTGATGTGCGTCTTCAAGTGGTTTCTAACTTATGGTGAACTTATCATAGGGTTTTCTTGGCAAGATTTGTTCAGAGGAGGTTCGCCATTGCCTTCCCTTGAAGCTGAAAGCATGTGACTTGCTCAAGGTCACCCAGTGGGTTTCATGGCTGAGATGGGAATCAAATCCTGGTCTCCAAAGTTGTAGCCCAACACTCAAACTATACCACAGTGGCTCTCAAAATAAATAAAACCATCTGAGTAATACAGGTTTCATCTCACCCCAGTTTTCAGTTTACAGGCAGGACATGGGTGTGGAGGGAATGAAGATTATTATTTGGAAATGATCTGTCGTAGATATTTTCTGCTTGTTAGCTATTGAGTTGAATTTGATTAATCAAGCAGCAGATCTGTAACATTTATTTGTTTTCTTATCTGGCTATATCCCATATGCCATCCTGAAGGCTTGAGGTAGGTAATGGAAAAACCAAAAGCTAAATATAAAATTTCTCATTAATTCAGTGGAAGTCCAATTATACAAGCTAAAAAACAACAGATGTCAGTACCTCCAGGTATCTACTGACCTCACCTCGGTTCCCAAAAGGCCATATGAAATAGGAGGGCAACACCAGTTTATCCTTATTCTTAAGGAATAAATTACTCCAATAATTACTCCATTGAAATCTCATAAAAACACATTTGTGGTTCTGGGGAAGTGGAAGACCTAGTGCAGGGGTCCCCACACTTTTTGATCCGGGGGCCAGTTCGCTGGCCTCCAGATCTTTAGGGGACTGGAGGTGCACACATGCGCACTACTCAAGCGCCATTTTGTGTTCCAAAATGGCGCCCGAGTAGTGCACATGTGTGTGTGACGCCAGGCACCATTTTGGAACACAAAATGGCACCACGCGTCGCACTGTGATGGCGGTGGCGGGCCGGCTCAAAGTCCTCGACGGGCCAGGTTCGGCCCACGGGCCGTAGTTTGGGGACCACTGACTTAGTGCATTGCCTTGTACACTGCCCACTATATAGGGACCCCAGGAGACTTTTTGAAAGCGGGGCAGGTTGGATGCTGCCAGATATTATTTGTGATCTGTTGGCAGACCACTCCAAATCTATTACATTTAAGGTAGCCACCTTCGCAGTAGCAGCCCAAAAGATCTGCTGCAAATTTCTAAAAACATCAACAATGGGTTACAAAGGGGATCAGTTGTAACCCTATTGTTGCCCTGGCATTTTCCCCTGTAATTTTAATTGATTTTATTCCTGTGTTCTCCTTGTACTTTGTAGATATCTTTCTGGTAAGCATGCTGGTGGTATTATTATAATTTTCTTGCAGTGCTTATGTAATATTTTGTAATGGACATTGTGCCACAGACAAATAAACTTGAGAACAAAAGCACATCTATAAACCTTCTTAAATTAGTCTAATTTTTATTTCAGGGTAATTTGTACAATTTAAGAATAACATGAAAATACAATAAAACACCAGCAAAATAATAAAATTAGAAAAATTATGGTAAGAATCCCTTGAAATAAACCCTTATGTGGCACTGAAGACGCATTAAAGTATGTGTTAGGCAAACTTCCCTGAAGACAGAGTTCTGAAAAGAAATTGCCATAACAGAAAAGTCTCTCTTTCTGATTGCCACTCCACTGGCAAAGCTATCAGCAGTATACAATATGCAGATCTCTCATAATTTTCTCCTCCAAACCCATTTCAAGGATAATTATTCTTCAGTGAAAATATAGTTTCCAATTCTATGACAGTATGAAAAAGTAGGATATAAAATAAGTAAATAAATATGTCCCAAATCCCTGCAGCTGAGTTCAGAATGCTTCTTCGAATATGATTAATGAGTAAACTTTTAAACCAAGTAAAATGCACAAAGTTCCAAAGTTAGCCTCACGTTATCCAAATGAGTAATGACATTGCTGTTACTGCCAGTATTTGTCATATTTTCTTTGCTTTGATTCATGCTGGAGACCTACTGCCAACCAAAACAGACAGGCACTTGACTAGATGCTCAACGGTATAATTTGGTGTAAAAGTGCTTGCTATGTTTCTTAGTTTATAACTCAGTTAACAAAAGGAAAATACATTTAAAATTTTGGTATATCTGTTATCTCTTATCTCTGTATATGTCTTTCTGGGCCTGGAGAGTATAATGCATTAAACATTTACTCCATGTGTTGAGTAAACTATATAACATTGCAGTCTCTGGCAAGCACAAGAAATGTAACATGTAGTACTTGTAATGGCATAAATACCATAAAGGCACCAGATTTCATCTAGTCTTGGAAGCTAAGCAGGCTCAGCTTTTGGTTAATACTTGGATGGGAGATTGCCAAGAAATACCAGGGTCTGTAGGCTACATTTCAGTGGAAGGAACTGACAAAACCACCTCTCGCCTAAGAAAACCCTATGAAATTAATGGTGTTTGTCAAAGAATTTTGTTGTGGGGGACTGTAAGTCGACAGGTGACTTGAAGGCACATACACATATACAGTACAGCTAACACTTTTAACACACAGTACAACTAAGAAAGAGCCAGCATGGCATAGTGGTTTGTGTGTTGGACTATGACACTGGGAGATCAGGGTTCGAATCCCTGCTTCGCCATAGGACGTTTTCACACGGGGCTTAAGGCAGACGCAATCCTACCTCCATCCGGCCCCAGTCCGGCTCCTTTGCAAAGTTTTCACACGACGTCGCAGCAAGCCCCGCCCCATCCAGTGCCATCCCCGGCGCAATCCTGCGTCAGTCCGGGTCGTTGCTCCGCGTGTTCACACGACGTCGCAGCAAGCCCTGCCCCGCCCCATCCAGTGCCATCCCCCGTGCATTTCTGCATCATCCCCGTTCTTTTCAATTCCTTTTTTAAAAAGGAATTGAGTTGCCGCTGCCGGAAGCAATCAAGAGCCATTCCGGAATGATGCTGCTTTCACAGGTCTGAAGCTGCAGGATCCATTCTGGAATGGCTCTTGATTGCTTCCAGGCGGCTTTGAGACCCCAAGTGTGAAAACGTCCATAGAATCCACTGACTTTGGGCAAGTCACATGCTCTTAGCCTCAGGGTAAGGCAATGGCAAAACTCCTCTAAACAAATCTTGCCAAGAAAACCCCATTATAGGGTCACCATAGGTTGGAAATGACTTGAAGGCACACAACACACACAACTAACATCTTTAACCTTTACTATGCTTTGAATGCTTTTGTGCCCAGCTTTTGAAAAAGCTTGCTTAATGATATCATTTTAATTTTGAAAGAAAAGCAGCCATGGGGCTGTTGCTGAAAGTTCTCTCTGTTCTGGTTTGGTGAATGGGTTAGCTGTAGATATGGCTGGTTTCAGTGTCTTAAAGGCAAATGTTGGAAATAGTTCTTGAAAGTACTATTGTGGAAAGTTTTGGAGTCCCAGTAAAGCCTTCACACTTACTGCAGTTCTGTTTGTTGTTGTTGGGTATCCTTAAGTCATTTCTGACTTATTGTTGCCCTAAGGTTACCCTGTCACAGGCTTTTCTTGGCAAGATTTGTTCAGGGGGTTGCCTTTGCCTTCCTCTGAGACTGACAGAGTGTGACTTGTACAAGGTCACCCAGTGGGTTTCCATGGCCTAGCAGGGATTCGAACCTTGTTCTTCACATTCATAGTTCAAACCACTACACCGCACTGGCTGCCTAGAAAGAAAAGCAGTGCATGTTTTAATATAAATAAATAAAATGTAGACCAAGGATTACTGGCTGTGTGTGTCTGTTATAAATAAATAAAATGTAGACCAACGATTACTGGCTGTGTGTGTCTGTTTGTGTTGCTGACTGGACAGACACTCCTTGCCATCTGACAACCACTAATTTTGTAACACATTGTTGTGATTTTCGTGGGCCTACAGTGTTCAACTTGCAGAAATAATTGGGTTGAGGGAAAGCTCATTATGCACTCAGTTCTGAAATTCTCTAAGAGGAATTCTAGGGAATCCCCCTCCAGCCCAGTCAACCTTGAGAGCAGTAAATGTCGGGTGCCAAGAAAGACAGCTTTGTTGGTACTGACAATGGCTGTTTTGTGGAACATTCAGAGCTGGGTAAAACAGCTTTGTCTTTTTTTCTGTTTTCTTTTTATCCTCCCAGAGCGTCGTCTCTCTCTCTCTCTTTTCTCCCTCACCCATCCACTCTTCCTCTGTTTCTCAACCACTGTTTTTATTCCATAATCCATGTATCCCTTCCCTCCAAGTATGTCAGTCACTCCCCAGCATCTCTCTCTGCTATAGTATCTGCCTTCCTCTTTTAAAAACCCAGGGCCCTTTCACACTATGTAATTATAGCACCATGATGCCACTTTAACTGCTATGATTGCATCCTATTAAATCCTGGGATCTGCAGTTTAGAGAGCACCATTTAGAATTCTTAGAGCCTTATCACATTATTAAACAAACCCAGCAGGCAAATGAAAAGATGTGTGGCTTTTTGTTTGGTTTTTTTGGTAATTCTCGTTTGTTCTCTTCCAGTTGTAAAACTGTGGGAGAGGGTCATAAAAGTGTTGTAAAAGTGCCCCCATTTGCCAAGCTGAAATAATTTGTTTGGCAAAAATGACACTTTTACAGTGCTCCCCCATGCTTTTCCAACCTGAACAGAATGAGAGTCATGCAGAGGGAGAAAAAAACAACCATCCATCTTTTTGTTTGCCTGCCAGGTTTGTTTAATAATGCAATAAGGCTCTTAGCCAGAGAGTTCCAGTGCCCCACCAAACTACATATCCCAGGATTGCATAGCATGTTGTCATGTCAGTTAAAGTGGAATCAGAGTGCTATAATTTTATATTGTGAAAAGGTCTCAAGTCTTTTGCATACTCGTTTCTTGGGGGGGGGG